AAGGGTAAATATTACTGCCTGCGATGCTGAAGACGGATCACTCGCACGAGACAGACTGGCAGGCTGTGAGCCTCCCATTCCTCACCCGCAGCTCCTCCAAGGAGCCCCGTGCCCTGCGCTGCTGCTCCCCATGTCCCCACCTGCTGCACACTCCAAACCAGCCCCAGCAGCCCCAGGAGGTTCTGCAGTTTCCTCAGCAGCAACCTGCCAACATCTGTATATTGCCTCCTGAGCTCCTCCTGGAACAGGCCACAATACCATCAGATATCATTTAAATGAATATGATTTTGAGGACGAAAGAAAGAAGCCCTGAGGATGAAGATACCACCAAAACACCACTGCTGGCAGGTGCCTTCCCACACACCCTGCAAGCACAAATGGATTAAGGCTCCTGGCAGCTCCCACTTCTCTCTCCAGTATGACCATCATTTACTTCCAGTCCATCTGCTCCATGCATTCACCCAACATTTTAGGAGTGCCCAAGCAGTAACAGAGGCCACAGCGATTCCTTACCTCCAGATATCCACAGCACAGGGATCCATTCCCTTGGCATCTCCCAGCCCCCTGCTATGCAGACTCTTCGCAGCCCTGTGGATGCTCTCTGACTATTCTTCCCGTGATCCAGAGCACCCTTCTTAGGGGGAAATTTGCTACAATAAATGGAAGAACTTCTTTCTTTTTTCAGAAAAGAAACCCTTTAGCCGCTCTCACTGATCCACACGGTTGGGAACAATGCCAAGGAAAGAATTTCAGAACGGTATGAAAGATTCTGGAGACAGCAGGCAGAGCCCAACTGTCACACCTCATCCCATGACAGTCACAGAGCCAAGGGGACACTGACATTTTGGGCAGGCGGCACTTCGTGGGACGGGCAGCGATGTGATGGAAAGCCACTCTTTGTTTGCATTAATGAAACAGCCTTAAAGACAGGATTTCTTTTCAACACAAAAGACAAGGAGAAGCAAACTAATTAAAAATAGGTCAGCAACAGACTTGGAAACATCCCTGGGAGGACTGAGATGAAATTTAGTCCTGGAAGCTCGAACCATGTAAGCAATGCATAAATTGGGAGTTCTTCAGCTTACTTCTATTAAGAAGAAAAGCACTGGAAATTAACCTGTGAGTGCACAGCAGCAGCACGTCACCTGCCCTCGGAACCACAGCACGATCAGCTGGTGACGAGGAAAGGGAGCTGAGGGAGGTGCAGGAAGGCACAGGGGTGGGAAAAGGGGGAGGCAGCCAAAGTTAAAAAAAAAAATAAAATAAAAAAATCTCTGCCTCAGCAAAAGTTTTCATTAAAATTTTAGACAAATGATCTCTGTGTCCTTCTCCCATGCTGCCTGGGGCTCCATGCTATTTCTATGCAAATAACAACCTCGTGGTTTATATCTTATTATTTCCACCGGAGCTGCGGCGACATGACCCGAGACGTGTGTGAGGTAGACAGCGAGAGAGAGGGAGAGAAAGAGAGGGAGAGGGAGGGAGGGAGATGGAGTGGCTGCTCGCTGAAGTGTGAAAAAATATTGTCAGGAGTGAGCGGCAAGAACAAAAAAAAAATTGCAGGGATAACGTGTTTATTTCAGCCCCTCTCCCCATGTGAACCAGCACCTTTTAAAATTCATTGGGCATCAGGCGATCATGCACAATCCATCTGCTTTCACTTTATCATTTGCATTTCATGCCTCCTGGCTTTTGATGTGCTGATACTTTGATGCAGTCAGGAGACGCGCATTATCATTATTTCAATTTCCAGGGGGGTCAGCGGGCTCAGCACAGGCGCGCACACGCTCACGGGAGAGGAATGAAATGTCATTTCCACCTCTCCACCCCCTGCTGAAACGCGCTGGCGAAGACAAAAGGGGTGCAGATGAAATGCAGCCCGGAGCCCAGCGCACCTCTCCTCGGCCGTCCCCTGCCCGCAGGTCTGGACCGCAAACAAAGACGGCTTCATCACCAGCACAGGGAAACCCGGCACGGCCCCCGCGCTTCCTGGCACCCACATGGGCAGCAGGGCTGAGAGAATGCAGACCCTGCCTGCTGCCACGGCCGGGACGTGCCTCCCCACGTGCAGCGCAGCGCCACGGATGCAACCAGCCAGCGTGCCATCAGCCAGATCCAGCAGCACCAGCCTCTGTTAAAGCAATGCTGACCTTGAGCTCATCGCCTACGTTCCAGGCCACGGCCTGATGCTGGCAGCCGGACCTCCCCCTCCATGCCCAAACTCTCCAACTGGGTTCACATAACGATAATGAACGAATCTGCTGGCAAGTAACACTTCTCACAGTTCTCCTCTGCTCCCCTTCTATGTTACAAACAACCCAGCATTCCGCAGGAAAATTAAAAAATCAAAACTTTCACTGCTTTTGGCAAGCCCAACTCCCTCCATTGCTGGGGGACCATTTTTACATCGCGTTTTCAAGATACGTATGCAGACACAGTTCTGCGTATAATGTTTGCACAACATCTTCTTTGAAGGCAGGAATTAAAGTCAGCAATAAAACAAAACAGTCCCACATTTCTGACACCAAATTGGGAAAAGCCCAAGGATTATTTGAATGCAGCTGTATTAGAAACATTCATTTCTAACTGCCATGCAAGACAGCAGTCTCCATTTATTTATCTCTGTTGCAGGCACAATCCTTCCCCCAAGTCCCTGCCCACTGAACTGGGGATCACCTGAAGGCCACAATGCAAAGTGCTGGCTTTCCTGCACAGGGCTCTTCTCAGCATCTCATCCAAGGGAACAACAAGAATTGAGGCTCAGTAGCTCCACAGAGGCAAAACTGCAATAGGTTCCCACCATCAGGCTCTCCTGGAACCTGATCCATGCACTGGTAAGAAAGAACACATCAAACTTCATGCCATCAAAAAGAGCCCCTGCATTCCTTCAAGGGAAGACTCCACTTAATTGCCCCCTGGCTGATGGAGACCCAACTTCTAGCCAAAAGGGAATGCAAATAAAACAAATAGTCCATCCAAATTCAAGGGAGAAGTGCTATTAAAGGTTTACATACAAGAACAAGGAGACAGAGTGTAAAACTTCAGCAGATACTGCCTCCATGGCAAGACAACACAAACACTACAAACAAATCAGCTCTCACCATGTGCTGCGCACCCTGCTGAACATCTCAGCTGGAATGAGCTTCAGACATTTTAGGAGAGCACTGGAGGTCACTTCACTGCCTCAGATGGGACACAGACAGAGCTGGATCCATTCAAGAAACTCTCACCAGAACAGCAGGGATTGAAAAATGAAGATCATATAAACTAGCAAGATGCATCACAGACACATCCAGATGAGTGGGGACTCCCAGCCTCCTGCTCAAGGACAGCTAAACTTTCTCGTGGGTCTGCGCTTCAGCCTTCATACTGGGAAAGCTGGAGAGGATGCAATAGGCTCCTCCTTTGCCAACCTTTAGGCAGCTGAAGGTTCAGTGCCTACATAACAGTACATGCCTTTCCAACAAAGCATGGAGGGAGAGAAAAGAACACAATCAGACCACTAAAGGCCTTGGGATTGGATGGGCTAAGTCACACCCTGAAAGCATCTCCTTCTGCCTATGCCTTCTGACAGATGTCAGGTGCTTAATTTAGAGTAAATCCTTAATTTTTAAGTGCCTAAACCTTAGTGAGATTAATCTGGTCACATAAAAACAAACATTCACTCCATGTGCAGAGCATGCAGTTAAACCCAGAAAGAAGAGAGAAGAAGAGAAGACTTCACAGGCTTGCTGCGCCATCTGGGAAACTCTGCAGGACCCTGATCACCAACAAATGACAGCTGGAATCAGGCAACGTACTTCACTTCAGCAAGCACTAACTGGCTCAATCTCTTTTTGAAGGATGGATCTTCAAATGCCTCTTTTCCTTCCATTGATGCAGGTGTGTGTGATGTGTGTAAGAGATCTAACTGAGGGTACCGCGTCCTGGAGTTGATAGGATCAATGCTTCATTCTCTGCAGAGCCCCCTTTATTCAGGGGAATAATTCAACGAGAGACTATTTTCCTTTTATCTCCCATTGTCGGGCAGGCACTCCTTGAAACGCAGCTTGCGATGAAGCACAACCACCCCAGGTGCTGGAGAGTGCCTGCGAACAAAGCTGCACAATGGGGAAGGGCACCGGCGCCCGCACAATCCTAACTGCCATGTAAACAAAGCCCTCAGAGAGAGGGACAAGAGCTGGGCTGGCTGCGAGCCGCGTCTGATGCGCACAAGGAGCTGGAGGCTGGGATATTAATAGGCAGGGGGCAGCAAGGGAGAAACATCGCCTCTGGTGAGAAAATGGCTCTGGTGAGCCATTTTAGTGGTGAAAGCACTAAGTTTTCTTACAGCCTCAGTTGTTCCTCCCTGCACCGACAGCTGAGGCTTCCAGCAGGTTTCACCCCTTGAAAATCACCATCCGCTCTCTTTCCCAAGGCTTCAGTGCTCTCCCAGTGCTAACACCAAGGTCAGGGTGATTCTGGCCCACGTATTTGGAAACATGGTCATCCAGGTACTGGAAACAACTCTGCTTCTCCTATAACAGTATACAGGGGGTGAGAGAAGGTGCTGCCCAGCAGGCTTCTGTCTTTCAGCCACTGCACACAACCTGTGTTAAAAGCTGCTCCTCCTTCCTCCCCTTCACCTGGTTCAGGCTCAAGCCCTTCAACCTGCAGTGCTGCCCAGGTCCCCTGCCCATCTCCAACCAGAATGCCTGCAGCAGTGCCTCTGGCCATCAACGTAATGTTCTTGTCAAGAAGAACAAGTGCAAGAAAGGACTTTTTTCACCAGAAAAGAATAAAAAGAGACTGAAAGTCATTCTGGATGAACCCTGTACCACTTCTTCTCCTTGTCGGGGCTCAGTCCCTGCGGCCCTCCCTTCACAGCTCTTCCAGAAGCTAACAGCAAACGGGTCCAAGTATGGAGCAGGGACAGTGATGGCAGCTCGAGTGTCAGGCACAACTCACAGAAGCAGCCATTCAGCCTGCATAGCTCTGAAGGCTGATGTGTGAACACTTACCTTGTTGAGGGCTCCACAGCCAGTCAGGATGATGTGAGAGTTCTCAACCTGGATGGTCCTCTGCCCTAACCGAACGAGGTAAGCTCCAATTCCAATTGCCCGACACGTAACCTTAAAAAAAAGAAAAAGGATAGAAGAAATCACATTGATTTCTGTCCTACCACACAGCCAAACCCTATTGATTCAAACATCTAGATAAAACAGTAAAACTAGCCATGTTTGCATTACAAAGTTATAAAACCTACTCCTTACTGCAAAACTCCAGAACCTATTGTTTCATAAAACACAGCATCTCAACATGTATGCACTTTATTTAAAAAAGGGAGAGAAGTAGTAGTTTACTGACTGAGCAAACACAAAGCCCAATGGCACCTTTCTGAAAAGTGTCTTCCATTTACAATGAATGGATCCAGCCTAGTACTGGTGTGCAAACAGTGCTGCTCAATGCCTACAGGAGTCAATTTACATCAACCAAATGCCTGATCCCAGGTGTATCTCCTGGATATCACTACAGGATTTTTAGCTGAAATAGATGATAAAGTTTGAAGAATAGAAAGCAGCGAGGGATTACCAAGTTGATGGTGATAATACTCTCGTAGGCTAAAGATGATTCTCCAGCAATCATGCCAGATCCTCTGAGGTTCTCTATTCCAAGTCCGTCTTCCTTCCCGATAATATCTGTTATCTTATACCTGAAGGAGACACATACAGCCTTTGAGTCACAAGGTCCAGTGATTTGCTGAATCAGTTTGCTATGAAGAAAATGAAAAGTGACTAAATATCATTAAGGCTCTGAAGAGCAATGTGCATAAAACCCATTTCGGACCCACACAGGAGCTCATTCTGCAGCCTTGCTGAGCATCATGAACAGCCCTATGTACATGTGAGGTGAGCAGCACTGCGAACAGGAAATGTCAAGGGAGAGAGATCCCATGAAAAGCATTGTGTCACCCCCACAGGACGTGAGATGCAGTCTGATTGTAGAAAAAAAAAGGCAAGAAAGGAAGAGAATGCAGCCAAAAGAAACAAAACAACAAGAGATTACAATGAAGCTCTCACCTTTACTTTCCTCTTTCATGCCTTCCTTCCCCAGCACGGACCCTTCTTACTCAGCACTCTCAGACTGGCCTCTATCTCCCACACTAGGCCCTCGCTAAGCAAAGCACTTGAGCATGTGCTGAAGTGCCTCACTGAAGAGCCGCTGACTTTCCGTGCGCAGGCGGGCAGCGCGCAGCCCCACACCCAGAGCCATTCCTTTGTTCTCCCAGAGCCTGCCAGGCTGCAGGCCAGGCTTTCTTCTTCCCACGCACATCCTCCTCTCTCTTGCCAGCAGCAGCACTCCTGCTTCAACTAGCTCTGAAAACTTCTTCCCGCCTCATCTGCAGATGAGCTACCTCTGGGATGCAGCTGAGAAAATACAGCCGCCTGGAGCAGAGACGTGCACGGAAAACCTAATGCTGTAAGGCAGTGCAACCCCCAGAACAGGCGGAGGGCTCAGCCTTCATCCAGGAATTCTTCTGTCCTTACTCTAGAGTCTACTCAAAAAGTAATTTGCAAAATTTAGACTGCAAGTCCCTGGGTAGAAATCATCATCCTGGTGTCAGAGCATTTACCACTGCAGGACCCTTGGGAACAACCTGGAGCCCCAGGCAGCACCACAGTGTCAGCGCAGCCCTTCCTCAAACAACTCCTCACGCCCCATGCCCTGATAACACAGAACTCCAGCTCTCCAGCTGAACACAAGGGTGCGACACGCACCACCCTCACACGCACCCAAGGAAGTGCAGAAAGCTTTTAATTCAGTCTCATCTGTGCTTACCTGGACTCTCCATTGTCCTCCACGTGTTCACAGTGAACCGAGTTCAGAGCGCTGACCTTCTTATAGTCTTGTGGTGTCAGGTACAAGTACTTGTATCCCTGAAGGGAAAAACAGCTCATTGATTCATTCCCATTTGTAGGCCCTTCCTGTTTCCCAGCAACCCTACCCAAAAAGAGAGTTTCCAGGGAGCAGAATTTAATTTAAGAGTGAGGCAAACATCCTGTCTCAATATCAGAGCTCCAGCTGAAGTCACTGGAAGCTGGGAACGCTTTCAGTGTTCCACACTAACTCATTCTGGATAATAGTTCTGTGCCTGACAGATCCAATACCAACTTTGGACCCAACAGTCTGGCAAATACATAGCCCATCTCGATTAAGACAGGCTGTGTAAAAACAGGATAATCTCCTGAGCTATGCAGACTTTCATCACTATTTCCCGTGCCTCCTTACTTTGTACGGGTCATCTGGGTCCTCCCATGCAACGTGGAACATGTGCCGGATCTCCTCAGCCAAACCAATCCTGGCTCCGCTGTTGGCAGCCACGTAGATGCGGGGGATGCCGTGAGTTCGAGCAAGCTCTGAAGCCCTCAGGAACAGCACATCCTCCTGAGGCCCAAAAGAACCTATCCTGTACGTAATGTCATTGCCAATGACGATGATATCACGGCCTTCAGGGTACTCCGGGGTCTTGAGCGTCATTTTCCAGGCTACCATCCCGATCTGCAGTAAAGGAACAGAAAGCCACAAAAGGTCAATGAATACTTTGAAGATGTGAAAGCAAAGAATTGTGCACGGGTTCTCGTGTATGCTGCACTTCAGTCTTTTCCTTGGGAACCCCAATAACAGCAGCATGCTTCCCTCTGACCCTGTCCTCATGTTAGCAACTTTTTCATTTCCTCCCTCCCTTATTTACTGTCCTTCCTTTCATCCCTCCGGCTCTTCCCCTTCTCCTCCACAAATACTGCAGCAGTTTCTTCCCAAGCCCGCCAGGATAAGTAATGCTTTTTGCTGCATATTTTTCTTTCTAACATCACTAGACGATCTCTTCTGGCCCATCTTATGGAGATCAGCAACATCTGTACCCCACGTCTCCCATCCCTCAGCCGCGTCCCCGCGCTGGGGAGTTGGCCATCCTGGAATGCCATTAACAGATGGAAATAGCAGCGTCCCTTGAAAGCCACATGCATCACCCAGTCTCTGCTTGCCCAAGGATCATAAGCTCTGAGTACACATTCCTCAAGCCGATTGCGCATCCGCTGCAATCAGGGGTTTGAAACTCTCATTGTGGAGACTCTGAATTCTGAACATGATGAACTGAAACGGGAGGGGGAGAGCGGAGAAGCAGCAGATAGATATGTGCCATTTAATCCAAATCAAAATGGCACAATATATAGTTGAGATCCAATCAGTATCTGCAGTAAGATATGCCATAACAGGCTCATTAAAAAAAATAAAAAGACAGAGGGATTAATCAAAGGGTCACGGGAAGTAAAGCAGGCAGCAACCCAGAAATCCTACAAGCAGCAGATCCGCGCCTTCTGCCTCCCTTCCCAGAGCTGAGGCTGCAGGTTGGCAGAAAGATGGTGTTTCTGTTCACCTTCTCCTTGGTCTCAGTTTCATCCACTGCTGTTCTGAAGGATATGTCACACAGGATTAATTTGTTTGTTTGCTTCCGAATATTTGCAGATTTACAGTTACATCTCAGCACCCAACTGCAGCGTTTGGCAGAGAGAGACAGCGCAGCCATTTCAAACGCAGGAGCATAAATCCCTAAAAGGTCAGCAGGTTGCTTTGCTGCAACAGCAGCACTACAGCAAAGTTGTAACGCCCCAAAACAACGGAACGCGGCTGTTGTTGGGCACACAGACCTCCACCCAGGCTGGTGGTGGAGTCACCATCCCTGGAGGCGGTCAAGAAACATTCAGATGCTGCACTAAGGTTACAGGTTAATTAGACAGGCTGAGCTAATCACCTAAGAGCACCGTCAGAACAACAAAGAGTGATGGCAAGCGGCAGGGGCTCCCAAGCGGGCTCTGTGCAGAGGCAGCACAGTTTGCCTTCTCCAGCCACAGCTCTCCTCCCAGCACACCCAGCAACGAAGGGGAGAGGGAGGAAAAAAATAAAAGCAGGAACCGTCTTATTTAACTGTTCTTATGTTGGCAAAATGATTTGTGCCACGGTATTTCCATAGGAAGTGGGACCATTATTCTCCTGTAGGAACACATTTGGTTTGAAAAGTATCACCGGACAGAACGTGAAAATCAAACCGGATGAATTATTCACAACCCCCGATCAGAAGTGATCATTATTTCTGATGTTCCAAACTGTGATTAGGATTCAGTGCTCAGATGCCATTTGCTCCCTGAGTAGCACCAGCGACACAGAATTGCACAGCACACATACATTACGCACCAGTTATATATATATAATTTTATACACATCTTCTCCCAATAGATCTTTGCCTTAATGTAACCATTAACAGACAGTAAAAACATGATATTAACTAACATTCGTTTTCATGGCTCTCATAAACGCCGTTCGTTTGACACACAGTGTCAACACTAATCATGGCCTAAAATTAACACCAAAATTGACTTCAACATTAATTGCGCTATCGATGTGAGCAGTAATACACACACTGATGCAGTGACAAATTGACTGCTGGCGGCAGCCGGGGCTGCTGACAACATGCATGGAGGGAACGGCAGCATGCCGACCTCAGCCGCCCCGAGAGCGCGAGCGTGGGGCTGGGGAGCCAGCAGTGCCATCGTGGGCAGGGGGACATTCCAGGCCTGTCATCCCTGGAGCAATGCAGCTGGAGGAGAACCTGGATTGAGCTGCAACTGCTCAGTGTTTGTCAGCAGCTTGAGCCACGCAGAGGTGTTGTTTCCTCTTATCCCACCACGAGGATGGTGCTGGAGCCCAAGCGCTTCACTTAACTGAACTTAAAGAACCCCGACAAAAAAACACTGCCTTGTTCCCATTCTGCTGCATCTGTACTGTACGGGGGTTTTATATGTTGGAAACATATATAACACGTGAGTATGTCTGTATGTCATTATTTATTATGTACTGAAGTTGTCATAAGGAAGGAAATGTGGCAGCTGTAGAGCCCTGCATGTGAGGAGCAGGTGCCAGCCCACCCCTCCTGCCATGCACACTCACCCCAACGCTGGGAGAACACAGGTACAGGCACTTGTTTCATTCCATACAGCCTGTCTATCCCAAAGCTAAACCCAAACACTGAATCACTGCACAGCCATGGGCAAGGTGTGCTTTATTAAGGGAACAAACACACCCCCAGAAACTTTACTTGATGCAGCTGTACCGTTTTTGTGTTCCACCATTGGATCCCAACACCCAGAAGAAAGCCTCTCCGCACTCAGCCATGACCAAAAGCCAGAAGGCTATTTTCAGCACAAACCAGCTCCCAAAAGAAAGGCACAACAGACTGCTGAGGCCTTCAGTCTTACCACCTTGACAAAAGGGGAACAGCAGGATCCAGGATCCCTTCTTCCTGGCTCTGAAAAAGGCATCGTCAGCAGCAGGAGGCGCAGCCGAGCTCACAGCAGGCGCAGTGCTGCACAACGCAGGGCCCTGAGGATGAGGCACAGGGAGGAATGGCTCCAGGAGATGTGGCAAAGCACTGCTCAATGCATGAGCTGCAAGGGATTGGGATTGGAAAGAACCCGACATGAATTCCTGCTGCCTTGGTTCCTTCCACAAGACCAAGGGCACTAGGCTGGCTGATGACCAGCAAAAGTGGGTGGATGCACAGAGCTCCAAAAGGAAAGCTCCAACAACTGCTGGAGACTGCAAAACTAGCTTGGACTGCATCCACACCTGTGTTGCAAGGTTTGTAGCAATCTCCGGGATAGCTGAAGGCATCATGTTGAACTAAACCACATTCTCCATAAATTCAAGCTCCTGTCTGAGCCCACAGATTAATTGGGAACATCACTGCCAGCTTTTGCATCAAAACACAGCGCTTTGGATGAAGGTTTCCACACAAAATGCTAATATCTTCTTCCAGGCAGGTGTAAAGCTTGAAAACTTCAGCCGAAACAATTCACATCTCGTAAAGCAACAGACCGATGGATCACACAGACCATGGGGCAACCTTCATTAGGAACTTCCTGCACTGTAGGCAAACGTGTGTCCAACTGTTCAAATATATATGCCAAGATACAAGCTAATCTTTGCACCATCACTTCTGAGCTCTACTTACAAAGGAATTTGAATAAAACCCTGCAAGAAATTTGGGCCATTCTCTTATAACGTCCAAAAATTTGTGTTATGTTCCACTCACCACCACTTCTATCTTTTGCTTAGAAAAAAACAACCTCCTGTTTGCAGCAAAAGTGTGCTGTGCACCAACCTAGCCCCTGCACCGCATTGTGACACCCAAGCATCTCGCTGATGGGGGCTAAAATCATTCTGCCAATGGAGGATCACCTCCTGAAATTGTACCGTGTTGCAGATGAGGAGCCACCACTTGCTGTGCAGCACAAATAGTTGCCCAGCTTCCCTGTTATTTAAACCTATTCCCAGTGCCACGGGGGCCTTCAGGTCAGGATTGCTCCCACAACTCATCAAGAAGAAGGACTGGGAAATAAAAGGGAATCAACTATTTTTCTCCGGTAGGTTTGGGGTGGGGTGTGAAGATGGATGGGTGTTTCCGTTCACCTTCACGTTAATTCCCCACCTTTGCCATCCACATTCTCGGCTCTCTCAGAAGCGCTTATCTGCCTGCTGCACGGAGCCCAGCGGATGTTTTAATGCCCTGTGCCTGTCATAAAACGCAGGGACATGGGGTGACAAAGCAGAACGTGCAGTTCAACTGCAAAGCTGTGCTCGTATAAAATTCATTAGCTACACCTCTGAGCCCCAGGCGATCCACGGAGCTGGAGAAGCAGCGGCGCTGCAGCCCTCTGCCCAGCGCTGGCTGCAACGTCACCTGGCCAGGGAAAGGTGCCTGCCAACACACCTCCAGCTAGGATTACTTCTGAGCCTCACGCTGCTGAGAAGGAAAAACTGTGACATCTAGCGCCAAGAGGGAAAATGACACGTTTACAGAGAGACTGAGCTGCAGGGCGACACGAGGTGCTCTCTGCCCTTGGAGCTCAGCTGGCTCTTACCAGCGGGTGGTGAGGCCCTGCTTCTGGGACTGCCCAAACCCATCCCTCCCAACATCAGCACGTCTCAGCCACACGCTTCAGTCCCACACTGAACCCGTCCCACTCCTGAACCACGTGAGATTGTGTCACTGTGAAGAAAGGCTCCCATTTATTTATTTTCTTTTAAATTAAACTTGCAGGAATGTTAGAAGTCTTGTGCTGTAATCGAGATCTAAGCATGGTATGAACTTGAAATTTTCCTGTGAAAAACACTTCAGTGTAAATGTACTTTCGTAACCTAACGCAAGTGGATTTGTTTCCTTTCACCTATATTAACTCTGACCATTTCAAAGGCTCATGTCTAATAAACTGAGAATGGAGATGAGCTGAGCATCCACCTTCTGCTGCTTAGTTCTTGATGTGGTCACAGTGGTGCATTAAGTGCCCCATTTGTCCCACAGTCCTCATCCAGCAACACACTCAGGAGCATCAGAAGGGAGCTACTGACCGGTGTTTGGTTCTGCTGATAAAATACTGTCTCCTTCAGCTCTCTTACATATACCAACCAGCTCTGAAAATTATTTGCAAATTGTTCTTAACTTTTTAGGATTGCATATTCCATCTTATCAAGTGTGCCAGCCTGATAATATTCATAACTGAAATGTTACGGTAGCAGACAGAGCTAACTGGAGCAGTCTCACATGTAAGCAGAGGTGTCAAAGCAGCCAGCATTGTAACAGAGGACACATAAGGAGGAGTAACTGGGGACCAGAAGACTGTTCATGAGCTTACTGAGAAGGATCTGGAACAGACATCGTCTCACAGACAGCTTGAGGCAACATCCAGGATTCTGTCTGCAGCCCAAAGAAACAGCAGATGTGTTTCAGCAAGAGCTCTGGCTGTACTGAGAGGGCATGGGAATGGAAAAAGGCCCAGCATTAGCGATGCCTTCTGGGCTATGAGAGCACACGGCACGGCCAGCAGCACTGCAAGCTCCCCCGCGTGGCCATGACAGGACAGATCCTCTGCTCAGAAGGAGCAAGCACTGCCTAGGAATAAATAACAAGTTGTATTTTCATGGTCCATTAAGTCCTTGGCTTCTTTGTTGAGACTACCAGCAAAGAGATAATTAGTGCCAAATGAGGTGGTGGGTTACATGAAGTGGTCATAAGCTAAACGGAGAAAAACCTCTCACATTGTGAAAGTTCTTCGAGATTTCCCATTTCACAGATTTCTCTGAAAACAAAAACAGCATCAGCCTGGTTAGCCCAGAGCACAGCCAGCAGAGCCTGTGGGGATGGGAGACTCCCTGCTCTGAGCTCTTGCTCTGCCCAGGATCAGAGCAGGGACTGCAGCCTCTCTTGTTGACATCCAGCTGAATGCAGTGGCTGCAAATCTCCAGATTTTATGCTAGCTTCTCAATTTCACCGGCTGGCTAAAACAATTAAGGCACTTAGCTGAACTGAATGCTTTAAGAGGAGGAGTGTCTTGACCCCTTTTCACATGGAGAAAATGCAATTGTTCGGACTGCTTAGCACAGCCCCAGCAGAACAGACAAGCCCTGCCCCAGCACAGCTGATACCACGCTGGCGAGGCGCTCCTCACGTGGGGGAATAGCTCTGTTTGAATCTCTGGTATAAAACAGGTGTAAGAGAATGACAGAACATCCTGAGTTAGAAGGAACCCACAAGGATCCTCAAGTTCAACTCCCGACTCCACGAAGGATCACCCAAAAACCAAATCCCATTTGTGACAGCGTTGCCCTGATCTTCCCGGCCACCAGCAGGCAGAACAGTGACAGAGGCCTGAATGTGCTGAGCAGCAGCTGTACTGATTACAGCCAGAACTTTCCTCTATAAAAATAAGTCCTGCTCCCCTGGAAATGCCCTGCCCAGCAGGCCCAGCCAGCAGCTCACCGAGGCCCGCAGTGGAGCAGCTCAGAGCTTGGGGCACTGCTAGCCAAACCTGGGGGAGCACACATGCTGTAACAACCAGCACCCAGCAAGCACAAATTAAGACTCTTGGAACGTATTTGCTTAAATTATCCTTGCAACAGTCCCAAGTATTTCCCCCTTTGAATTTGAGCAGCCCTAACAAAGGTAAGGCCCCTGCCTGAACCCCGCCAGCCCCCCGCCTCCATCTCTGCTGGACAGAGAGCCTCGAGTGCACGCTTGTGAAAATTTGTTTCCTCAGCTGAGCGAAATTAAACCCTGAAAGCCTCAAGTCGGCTCATCCTGATAAAGGAAGTGCAGCGGGGAGGAATGAATCCGCTCGGCAGCTCGTCACCCCGTGAATGTCACCTGTCCTTCAGAGTGCCGCCGCAGCCCTTGCTCAGATTGACCGCTCTCCCATCTGAATGAGCGCCATTGTGTGCAGCAGCTATTGGTAACAGAATTCAATACCGACGCCTCAAACCTCATTCCAGCTGCACAGGGTCCCACGGCAACTGCCTGGCAGCTGAGCACCGCCGGCCGTGGGCTGCACGCCGCACCCCTCGCTTGCACTGCTCGGCAGGCAGCCAACCCAGCGCTGCCCTCCAGGCCCCCACCTCAGCCCTGCTGCTGTTGGAAGGCAGGGCAGCACTGCTGTGCACCTCTGTAAGAGGAGATCTTGAGGAGACGGAAAAACACAGGGGAATGCTGCATTTCTGTGTCCTGCTTTCCAACGGCTGAACCCCTCAGCCTGGCTGCCCCAGGAGGGCCGGATCCTGCACAGGAGATAACACCGCACACACAGCAACAGCCACACAGTTTGTTTGCAGACTGAGGGCAACGAAGTCTACCAAGGGTTAAATAAAACTCTTAATTTTTTTTTGGTGGTCTTTGGGTACAAAATCTCTTATAATAAGACTATTTGTATTCATACTGGCAGAGTAAACAGTACATGTTCATGCCCAGGCAGCTCCGTGCTTGTAATTTCAGCAAGAGCAGAGCTACGTCCCTGAGGGACTTTGCTGTTTCCCCAGCCACCATCCACTCAGACACTGAATGAGTGCAGAGAAAGAGAACGATGATGGCGTGAGGCTCCACAGCAGCACAGCCCCGGCCGGGTTTAATTGTCCTGCTTAAGGAGGTTCTGCCATAGGCCAGTGAGGAAGCACTGCTCTTGTAGTCACCACTGACTAATTAGGTTCAATCTAAAAACACTATTTTCGAAACCTTCCCCCAATAAGAGACGTGTAATAAACAGTGATAGCAACCCCTATTTCCTCTCATCACCATCCTTGATGTTCTCAGTGTAACAACAACGTTTGGACAGGTCTTATGTTCCATAACCAGTAAAAGGCACTACGCTGGTTCAGCAATGCCAAAAACATCAACACCATCATTAGAACAGTTCAGACTTAAATTACTGCAGAAGCATTCACTTATGGAATCCCATCTAGCCAAGACCAAACACAAACAAAAACAACCCCAAACCTGCTACTAGTTGGCTATCTTCTCAGGCTGCTTTAATGCTGCAACCCACGGCTTGCTGACACAACACAGCAGCAAAAGCCCACAGCTGTCTGGCCTCCTCCACGGGCAGCTGAAGGAGCAGCAATTAGTCTGGCAGCATTAGCAGCCCGTTAGTCCCACGGAAATCACTCACTAGAGGGGGATGTTGCACACACCTTGCCCACGTGCTACACAAACATGGCAGTATTTCAATGGCAAGCATAAAATTGGTTTTTCAGTTTTAAGCAGATGAAAACATTTCTATTTAGTCTTGTAAAACATATTTGGTTCAAACATAAACCCCAGTTACCTGGAATAGCTGAACGAGCACTTTTTAATTATGAAGGAAAAAATAGCATAGGCACAGGTTTGAAATGGAATCATCATTTACTATGGAGTTTAAAATATCCATTGTATGGAAGGTATTAATTTTTAATGAAACAAAAATCCCATTTCCAAGAGGGAGATTTCATCTATGAAAGACTGAATGAATAGATTTTGTGCCTGGCTTGGTAAATTTTCATTACAATTGTCAAACCTAGTCCAAGACACAACGTACTGCAGGACATGGAAAGGAAAGCAGTGTTAAAGAAGTGCAACTTGCCTCGTTTCCTCCTGGCAGCCTGTTCATGTGCACGAGCTGGCCCTGATCATCCAGCACCAATTCAGTGTACGTCAGTATGTCAGACGGCAGCGGCGGTGTTGGCAGGAATGCGTGTTCATTCATGGAATCCCAGAGTTTAATCAAAGACTAGAGGATGAAGAGACAAATTCTTGTTGAGAAAATGCTTTTGTTCAATCCGCTGTGAATTAACATTCAAGACAGAGCCCTCTAAAATCCCCCCTCCCCACAATTTGACTGGCAGTATTCAGTGGATATCACTTATTTTGGAATTTAAACTATGAAACACAGTTTCACCAAATTAGCATAATTCAAATTATGTGATTCAGGACAGAACCCAGCAAATCAGATACACAATCAATTCTGAAGCTCATTAGCACGTTTTATAATGCATGCACTGGCCAACCTTCAGGAAGGCTGGATAACAGGGTGGTAAAACAAAGACACACAAACAAGAAATGCGAGACGGTTTACATTTCAAGTTCTGCTGTTAGATTTATTAATGGAGCTACAGCAGCAGTGTATCAAGAATCCTCATTTTTTTCAAAGCCAGCCCAATTCAGAGTTGTGCAGGCCCTGGGGAACCACTGTCAGCCATTCCAGGCCACTTGTTTCCCAACAAGCAGGGATGGCAATGCACAGAAGTGCTTTGCAGATAGAGAAGTTCAGAACGATCCACCAGGCCTTAACAAAGAACTCTCACCTGCCGAAACATCTCAGGAATGTCATAGACATAGGACGTCCCTAAAGACTGTGCCTGGAATCTCTTGGACTGAAGAAGGTCCTTGGTCACGTATGGGGTATTTATCAGCATCCCATGAAGTGGTCCCTGTTTATCCCCATAGGCCTGGAACATAATCTGCAGCAGAAGACACAGCCAATTACAGCTTAATCCACCAGTTCCACAGACCTGCCTCATTCATATTTTAACAAAAATCATCTGGATATTCCACATTGGCCAGGCTTGCTTCTGTTCCCTACAAATATGTTAATACTCACATACCCTATAACACCATGCCTCATCATGCATTACTACCCTTTGGAGACAGTGCTGGACCATAACTGTGTGGATCTGAGCATCACTGACTTATTACTGCATTACAGCAGAAAGCAAAGTGAACAGAGCCACGTCCCCACAGAAAAAACCCGGTGACATAGATGACTTCACATTCACCAGTATTTCCCCTGACACCGTATCTATGCCGATGGATTGTGATGGCTGGGAGCAGAGAGGAGAACTCTGTTATTTATGGAGTCGAACAGCACTGTATCCGTATCTCCACTGACTGATCATGGAAGCTAGGTCAAGACTTGCATATGTCATTTGGCTTGAAGTTTTGATATTATAAGTTTAAAAGATTTTCCCAGAGTAGCAACATGAATTATCAGCTGCCATGCTTCATGGCACTATATATTCCACTCAGCCAGGACTTGGAAGGAAATCTATTTCAACTGAGAAATAAACACGAGGAGCACTGCATAACTGGGACAGGGCTGCACAAATGCTGCCTCATAGAAATGCACCTGACAAAAGCAACATGATCGGGCTTTCTTATCAACAGAACGGATATCAGATCTGATACCGTAAACTACAGATGCTTTCTAATTGCGGGGGAGATAATTGAAGAATTCCACAAGAAAGAAAATTCAGCAAAAAAGTCTATTTCAGGCTTTATATTCAAAGGAACAGTTCACACACTGTTTTCAAAAACACTCCTCTTTGAAGCTGCTTTGGTGATGGCTATCTGCTCAGGCCAACACGCATTTGGGCCAGGGTCCCTGTTAGGAACCTGTACTGATCCGCAGTGACCTTCACAGGTTTCTAACAAAACTTGAGGGCAAAGCTTAACTACTGCAGATTACTGAAACATTCTTTCTCTTTTCTCGTCCCCACTCAAAGGCAGAAATGAAGCAAAATGTGGCTGCTATCTGCTCGGAGATCTCTGAGAACTGGACAGCCTGTGCAGCCAGGCTGCAAGAATTCAATGGAGGAGAGGGGGAGAAGAGGTGACTCAGCACTCTGGGCTGCACATTAACACTGCCCAGGCAATTTGTTCTGTTGCTACTTCTGCATGGCAGGAAGATTATTACAGCGGGAGATGTAAACATTCCTGTATTTAAATATTTTTCATGCTTCCTATGGTTCGTGCACTTTAGGATATGTAAGGATTTGAGTTAACTGCAATATTCTCACGCCACGAAAAGCACAAAGACCTGAGAACAGCTGTAACCACTACAAAAAAGCCCATTACGCTTAATAAAAATGACATAAAAGCACCTTCCACAGTTTTATAGCACCCTACCCCAGTCGTTCCCTACACCTTCAGAATCACAGAACATGCTGGGCTGGAAGGGACCCACAAGCATCAAGTCCAGCTCCAGGCTTCAAACACAACACCCAAAATTCACACCGTGCTTCTGAGAGCACGCACAAAACAAGTAGGGGACATGCACTTTTAGGGGACATGCACTTTTAGGGGACATGCA